GAACAAAACTAAACTATTTTTCAATATTGCATATCAAAATTGTGTTTTTTGCAAATTAGAGATGAATTCAATAATTGATAAACATTCTACAGCTAATCGAAAATCTGACTTAAGTCTAAGTCTGTTTTTTGATCATGGGGGCCAGGCCATCTTTTAAATAAAAATTGCTGGCCCTCTTCCGACTCAGGGTAAAAATTGAATTGGGTGGATAGGTAGGTTAGAATGTTTTTTTAGAACATTTTAACATGCATATTGACGGAATGAAAAAAATCAGGAATAAAAAGGAAAATAAATCGTTTCCTGGAGGTAAAAAAAAAAGTTTTTAGTCGGGCATTTTAGCCAGTCGGTCGGGAGAGGGCAAACAAACATTCTTTTTAAATGCCCTCAGGGGAGAATTTTTTCACGCGACTTAAGGACATACGCAACGTACCTTACCTACTGATAATTTTTCAAGATATTCTTAATTTAAGATTATAATGCCATCAGATGTTCGTACACAAAAAATCAGCATGCATTACCAGGGGTTTTGAAAAGATACATATGTATCAATTGATGAAAATTATTGTATAATTCAAAGAAAAATATACAAAAAAAATACCAAACATATATTAATTCTGAATGTTTTGTTTATCCAAACTTGTTTTAGAAGAAGTGTACAGCAGCATATATACACATTAAAATGTAGCACACAGTTCCTTTAAGTATTGGAACTCTTCAACTCCAGGGAAAAAGACAATAGAGTTCAAACTAAGTTGCGTATGTCCTTAATGAGCAAAGTGTCTACTAAGATTACCGTATATTAAAATGAATTAAATGTAGAATTGCGTCATGACTTATCAATGTTAATTTATTTCATTTGATACCATAGTGTATAAGTTTACTTAGGAATTGTTCTGACTGAATATAAATTATGTAAACATTGATTTATCTTTTATTTCTATGTCATTTGAATAAAAGCATATCAGTTACTGTGAATGATAATAAACCATTTTCAATACTTACTGATATAAAATACCAAAATATTTTTGGCTTTGGAATACCGGAAGCATGGCAGCGAAAACTAACTGAAGAACCAGTTAATACGTAGACAGAATCCGACAAGTAGTCAATCACTGGCATTACTATAACATAATATCTGAATCAATCAATTTACTTGATGTGAATTAACTGATGTGAACTGCTAAACAAGCCTGTGTATTTCAAATAAGTCTTTCATATCATGAAATGGTGTTACAAACAGAAAGTATTTCTTACTTCCAACAACGTAGACTTTCGTTTGAACCCTGTCTTCTCCTGCTAAACTTTTGGCCACACATGTGAAGATTCCGTCTTCAGCTAAGGTGATGTTGTTCACATGTAGTTTGTTACCTTCTTCAACAACACGGCTATCTTTGATCAGTCTCTGAAAAAGCAATTAAGTTGATAATTTAAAAATGACAGAAGGTTTTGATTACTACACGAATTATTCTTTCCTGGTGTGTATTTCTGTTTTAAACCATAAATGAAAACTACAAAGGGGAAAGTAAAACTCTAAACTTTCACGGTTCGAAATGAATAAAAAATATTTGTAAAAGTTTCTCATTATAAGAAAGAAGGAACAATTGCACTAGGTATATACAATCAAGAGACGATGTTTACGTCATTAAAGAACCATAAGGTTCTGGGTTGTGGACTTCCGGTCACATGACAGGTTAATGTAACGTTGCCTCCATAAAGCACCGTCCTGTGATCAGTAATAGAGGCGTGTGGTGGAACGAAGGATGTAGCAGTTGAAATATCAGTTCCGTCTGTTAAGAAAACCATTGCAAAATACTGAAGAGATTATTGTGTTCATTTTTGGAAATAGTAAATGCATATGGAGCGAGTGGTAAAAACAATGGAAAGAAAAAATCCTGGTTGATGTTAAAAAAAAAATCTGATTACATTTATAAAAAGCTCTTTATATTAGATTAAACGACATATTTTGTCCAAGATAAATGAAAAAAAAAATTCATCGAAATTTTGTATAAAGTAAAAATATAAACGTGTCTGATATAAGAAGAAAAGCAGCAGGAATCATTTAAAAAAAAAATATAAAGCATAATAATTACCAACGATAATTTCAAGTAGTTTATATGAGACTTCGACACCATAAGTCACATGGCATAAAAAAATTCCGGAGTCTGTATTAGTAATGCCAGTTATTACTAGATCTCTACCGATCTGTTGAACGTTTCTTGGTAATACGCCCTAATGTTGAAAACATGGAGTTATTTATTTTTTTTATATACTTGCGTTTGTATCAATATCATATTGACCTTTATAAAAAATGTTACATTTCTGATCAGAAAAAGATAACCCGCCTACTGTTTCGTAACTCCAGGCAACGGTGACTTTTTCCTCGCTGTATGACGTGTTACAAGGTACTCTGACGTCATCTCCTGTTTTGAGCATCAGTATTGCTGGTATGGCAACATCGGGGGTCTCATTGCTGCCAAAGTTTAGTATTGGATTTGTTGGAGAGTCTTCGATGTGAAAATATAACTTTAATAAATGGATTTCAATTTTTCTTTTTCCCTTCAGAGTTATATTTTATAACAAATGTGTAAAGTGCATTGACATTTTATTAAATTGATTTATAAGAATGTCATTTTGAGGCACTAAACGAATTTTCAATTTGAACCAATTGATAAATGAGTAGTTATAAAACATGGTATCTGCATTTAAAATCCTAAATTCGTGAAATGTGATTTTCAAGAGCTTACATTTTGAGTGTTATAATATTATATTTACATATGCAAAATTGTTGCTTTACATAGGAATATTTAATCACGACATTTTATCGATTTATAGATGCACGTAACCATATCTTTGTTGTAAAGTAATAAGCCTTTCGGCATTTACGATATTTCTCATTTCATATCTTTATGTTTGTAGATGTTTGAAATACCTTATTTCTAAAATAAATCAAAGCTTTATCTATATATGAAAAGAATATACATTATAATTAGTATTTGAAAAGGTCAATCTGACCATCAGTGTTAAACTGTTAACAAAGCTTATCATAGTACAACTAAAAACGTTTAGAACTTGTTTTCTCCTCCTATATTGATTTTTTTTTTTTAAATGTACATATGCAGTTAATGATACATACCTTCTGCATAAATAGAGCGTTCAAAGCACAACGCAAGCCCTGAAAATTTAATGAAAATGTTTAAACCCTGCAATTAAAATTCAATCTCATGCTTAAACCCTGCAATTAAAATTCAATCTCCTACCGAAATAATACAAAACAATGGATATTTGAGAGATGAGTAACTCTCTCTCTCTCCGCAAGACTGCAAGGTTTAACCTAGGTCATTTTCAATTCTTCAAGTATGTGATCCCCCCCCCCCCCCCAAATTTTAGTCGATTACGTGAGAGTAATCTATGTATGTTTACTTGAAGGAAAATTGTGTCATGATTTAACATTCAGAAAATGATAAATTTTCTCTGGTGACTTCTATTAGAACATTTTCAAAGTAGGTAACAGGAAAAAAAAGTTTCCGTTTGCATTCAGAATTACAGTACAAAAATGATTATAAAAGACGAAATCAAAACAGAAATCTTTTTTATCAATGTTGATAACAAAATCATAGCTAGTAAGGAAGAATGTTGGAGCACGAAATGCGTGACTTATATAGATAACTGATAAACACGCTCTTGTGCATAGTACCGGATCGCGAAATATAGGACTCTTCTGCAGTTAAGATGCAAAGCATTGAACCTTGTCTAAAATTAGTATTTTATAGATTGATTAATTTAAAGACTGCTGTTGGATTTTGTTTTTCTAAAAATAAAAAGTTCACATGTCAAAATACTGTAGATATTAAGATAATTCATACAAATTCTTTTATTCCCGATGGAACAGAAAAACTGGGCACGGACATATCTTACCTAATAAATTCATGAAATCTCCAAGCAAATCTTACACGCATAACCTTATACTGAGTTTAAAAAGTAATGGAAATTGTTGGATATTAATGGAATATTTCATATGTTTCTCAAATAAAAAAAAAAGTGTTTATGACTGACGATATCCATTGAGTACCTAATCAAATGAAGTATATAATTTTCATATAATGAAAATAACTCATACCCACAATAAAGCATAATCCAGAAAACATTATTTACATATTCCTTCACAAATCTTTGAGCACTTGTCTTTAACATGACAGGAACTGTACAAGTGATAAGACCCCAGAGAGCGACACTGACCTTATTGGTCAATATATGTCCCACATACTGATAAACCCAATTCTAAATCCATCTCTAATACGGTTTCTAGTTTCTTTGAACTTTCATAACGTAATCATTTCTTCTATTTTCATAACATATGTATTCATGCTACAGTATTTCTTAGCTGAGGATGAAAACTCACTCTTCAGATGTTTTGTTTGTTTTAATCTACATTTATTAACAAATTATAAAAAGTATTCAAATATATGTTTTAATTCTGAAGCATATCCAGAGGTCTTACATATAAAAACATTTATTTTGATTTTTTCACGGAACATTTTTTTTTCATAGATCAACTTACTGGTATCGGTCATTTGCAAAGGTTAATATCTGGTAATATACCTTGTTCAACATGATTGTTAGGGCAATACGTTCATGCATAATTTCAGAAAAATGGTTCTCAGTTCTTTCATATTCTTAGGTTTAAAAAAAAAAAAAACATAAATTGGAAAAGGAAGCTTTGTAAAAAAAAAATGTTTGGTCTGAAAAATAAAATGTTTTCTTAAAGCATGAATGCATAGATATAAAAATCCATATAACATTTCTAAAAGCCCTATTATGGTAAAATTATCACCTGCAAATCTGAATGATATTGAATGGAATAAACAGGTCTTTGAACTAGGACTTGTATCAAATTGCTTCTCTTTTTTTTTTTTTTGGCATACAATAATAATTTTTAATTTGTTATATGCTCGCATTTAATTTTAAGTTTTGTAAAAATAATTGATCACCAAAATCGGTCAATGTACGTTGTGTATAGATTCCAGTTAGCTGACCAAGAACTGGTGAAAATATCTAATTAAGGCCTGTTGTCTTACCAGTCAATATACTGTACACTGTTTATTTTATTCTGCTTCTCACTGTGTACAAATCTGGTTGGATGTCATCTTTATAATCCAATTGGCTGTTCTGATGAAAATTGATTTAGAAATATCGTTGCTTCAAAATCCTTTTATTTAACATGAAACATTTAAAGACTGACCATTTTGATTAATCCTTACTTTTGGATTATTTTAAAAGGAAACACTTTAATAACCTCGTTACTTACATGTAAATACGAATTAATTCAAATTGTTCATGATGGAATTCAATGACCAGCAAGCTAGTCTTACCTATATATATTTTTTTAACCTTAAAGATTTCTCTACCCAAAGAAAAAAAAGAGACTTAGAGATATAGCAGTATGCGTTAAAGTCAAAACAAAGTAAGTATAATTTATTGTCAAAGTTCGGTTTATTCAATACACGGAATAAATATATTTTTTTCCAGAAGAAAATGACTCTATATTACAATATTTCTTTAAGTGTGTGTTTCATCCGGAGCATGAAGATGTATATAATAATAATAAAAAAAATGCATTAAATCAGTATAAATATTTACTAAACGGGGAACATCAACCAGAATGCATATCTTGTGACTGTGCAATAACTATAATCCATATTCTTTTAGAGTGTTCCGATTGCTTCGCCTGTTCGAAATACACTTTTTAATAATGTGCAAACAATGCATGACTTTTTTGCAAATATAAGTCCTAGTACAATTCTACAATACTTGCAAAAAACTGATTTTTAAAGTAAGATTTAGATAAATATCTATTTATAGCGAATTTTTGTTATTATGATTTAACTGTTAACACATTTTTAAATTTAAGGTCGTTAAGGGACGTTATATTGTGCCTCATGTCAAGGATAACAACCCTCTTGACACGTAAAAGATCATTTTTCTGGTTTTCGAAAAACAGTGGGTTCACTGTGTGTGTGTGTGGGGTGGGGGGGGGGGCACCAGAGAAACCCAACATTTTTTTTTCAAACCTGAACATAAATTTTAATAACCGAAATATGGCTGAAATATTGCTGATTCGGCGTTAAACAATATCAATCAATCAATCTATCAATCTAATGTGTAGTTCATTGATCACTTGTTTTTGTGGTCAGACAATTTCAAAAATAATTGTTCAACAAAAATTTATGAAACCACAGTAAATGATAGAAAACCTTAACAAAAATATTATTTTTCTCCTATTTATGAATATTCCGCTGCAAAGAACAAGGTACGGTTTCAATACATATCTGGCCCTGTATTTTTCTAAAATTTAGAAGTGATGTAAGAAATTTAAATTCATCCTTTTTGAATTATTGAAATTCCATGCAGTAAGAACATACAAATCGATTTTCCAGTATGACCTCCTAAATGCTAATTGTGACGTCATGAACTTGTGCCTTTTCCCGTATTTTCTTTAAAAGTTGCAGAAGACATCAATTTTCAGTGGAATTTTCTTTCAAAAAACATACAGCGCATGCATCGCCCACAAAGATTTTGATATATGTGATTTTTCAAAGCATTTTACAAAATATATCTAAAAATTAAAGTGGGCGAGAGCTGCGGACACTATTTCCTAAAGGAAAATAAGCACAGAAATGAGTCATTTTGAGGTTTTTCTGCAAAAAACTTAGAAATGTACCAAATTAATGACCTCACATTTCCAGAATGGTCCTCCTTTATGCCATATTCTTTAATGATTTATCATATTCATCTACTCAACTCATGTTATAGCCAATTTTATAACCTTTTAAGAACATTAAATTTTTAGGGCACAATAAAGCCCAAACCGTACCTTCTTCTTTGAAGTCATGGTTAAAAGTATAAACTATGATTTTATCTATATGCTTTTGTAGGATGAGTTTAGTAAAGCCAAAATCAAAATTGTGGAGGGATGTAAACAGACCTTACTCAGGGAACAAGAACGGTGAGTACCTTGATTGAAAGAAACGGTGTTTAAAAATATCGTCGTCATTCTGACATTCAGAATAAAAAAAAATTACCTTTGGACAAACCTTGAGAGGATTAATTTGTAGCAGTATCAGATCATTGTTTTCAAGAAGAATTTTGTAATTCTGAGACCAAATACACGTTTAAATGTAAATATATTTACATATATACTTTTCTTGAATGGTGTTTTACATGAAAATGTTATTTAATTCATTAACTACACAATCTATCACAATCGTATTTCTTTTTCAACCATACAACTATGTTTTATAATACTGATACTAGAATTGTTATACACGATGCATTTTACAAATTTAAACATAGAATTATGAAGAACAAGGTTTATCAATAAAAACAGTCTTTTAGACATCAAATATGATCATGATGATACACGTACATATACGTACTATAATTTACAATGAACATGTGTAAATGTTTGTCTATCTGAAGTCCAAAATACATTTTTTTTTTTCTGAAAAAGTTTCACCCACAGTTGTGGAGCCTTTTGTGTCTCTCTCAGTTTAATTTTCTCTCTTCACATTCCAGTTCTGCATCAGAACGGAGGAACCTCCAGAATGAGATAGAGAGAATGAAGGAGCTCCTGCACACTTACGAGACGTCGATACAAAGAAAGGACCCGGTCATCTCTAACCGGACACAGGCCCTGAGTAAACAGGAGGAAAAGCAGGATGCCATGAAGACATTCTCAGAGTGGAAGATACAGCATGTTGATTTGAAAAGGGAGGTAAGTTCTGTATTAATTTGTCTCTTAGGAAGTTACTTTAGCAACATGATTATCTTAAAAGTAAAGGAAGGTCTGTTGTTTTATATGTGTGTGTGGAAGATATATATACAACATTTGCTGTGAAAAGGGTAGAAACTATGTTTTCTTATTTGTGTATGAAACACATTGCTGTGAAAAGGGAAGTAACTCATTTATTTTATTTGTATGTGTGTGTGGAAAAATTTCACATATTCGTGCGTGAGGAAGCTATATACAACATGTTGCTTTGAAAAAGGGAATAACTCTGTTGTTTTATTTGTGTGTGAGGAATCTATATACAACATGTTGCTGTGAAAAGGGGAATAACTCTGTTGTTTTATTTGTGTGTGAGGAAGCTAAATACAACATGTTATTGTGAAAAGGGGGATAACTCTGTTGTTTTATTTGTGTGTGAGGAAGCTATATACAACATGTTGCTGTGAAAAGGGGAATAACTGTTGTTTTATTTGTGTGCAAGGAAGCTATATACAACATATTGCTGGTAATAGGGGAATTATTCTGTTTTATTTGCTGTGAAAAGGGGAGTAACTCTGTTGTTTTATTTGTGTGTGTGGAAGATATATACAACATGTTGCTGTGAAAAGGGGTGTTTTATTGTTTTATTGGTGTGTAAAATACAACATGTTCATGTAAAAGAGGACGTAAGTGGTAGATGCAGCATTTTGTTTAAAGAAGGGAGGTCGGTTATTTTGTTTACCTGAAGGGAAGATAAACAAGTAAACAAGGAAACCTTTAGAGAGAAATAATTCTCTTATTTTCTCTAAGTTAAAGATCCATGTTGATATAAAAAGGAAGATTTATATGTTGTTTTGTTTGTCTGTGTGGAATATATATTTTAATTTATAAAGGGAGGTAAATCCTTTTTTTCATTTTATGTGGAAAGGTATATCATTTATTGTATAAATATCTGTAATATTCTATAAATTCCTTCAAAACTTTAGTTTATTTTGCAGAAATTTGCAGAGAAGCTGACCCAGAGGTACAATGAGAGAAGACTTCAACAGAAAGTTTTGGAGGCACGGCACTCTGTGATAGAGAACGAATGGCGGGCAAGGGTGGAGAAAGCGTGTCAGGCCAAGGCCCAGGAAATTTGTATGCAACTGACCAATGGTTATGAGGCTAAAGCAGCATCTGTAAGAAGTGAAGAACTGTCTCTTATAAACTGAAACAATCTAATCAATATTTTATTTAGAATCTACTGATTTACTCTATATGTTATTAGGCTCAATGACAAACATCATAAAGCAAAGTTAAGCTTCCACAAGTCCTCTTCTTTTCCCCAGAGTGATATTTCTTGAGAATTTTTCTTTTTTAATTATCCTGATGGAAATGATGTTTGATACAACTTATTTTATTTTGGTGAGAGGGGACGTGTGTTTAATATTGTCTTTGGTTAACCACTAAAGGCAAGGTATAAAATATGGATATGTCCAACTAAGTTGGAAATTCTAATTGTTCTTTAGTCATGTATTTGAACCTAAATAACATGAAAATTTTAAAAATCACAAGGCTGTTTTTCTCTGCACCATATATCTCAACGAGATTTAACTGTATTATTATTTATCTCAACAGCTGACAGAGTCCCTCAATGCGCCCACGAGGAGATATGTAATCTACACAAAGAACGAGAGCAGTTTGAGGAAGCCATAAAGAAAGCATTCATGCGTGGAGTGTGTGCACTCAACCTTGAAGCCATGACTGTATTTAACAAAAATGACCAGAAAGGTGGATATTTTCTAAAACAATTAACCAATATATATGTTTAATTTTTTTTTTTTCTACATATATCTGTATGTTTGTCACTCAAGTTGTGGTGACACAACTTAAAAAATGATTCAAAACGAATCAAACAAAATTTGATAGATCCAAGCAAAGATAGTTGAATGGTTCATGAAATGGAAACGTTGATAAACTTGACAAATGACTTATAATTATCAGTCATTCAAAAGGATATCATATACAATGTACTTGTAAATCAACGAAGTTTCCACTTGCCAATTTATTTTTTTCTAAAGTAAAAAAATCATCAACTTAGCCTGTCAGTATAACCACATTTATTGTATGCTGTGTCATTTACAATCAATTTTTACTTGCTAATATTTATATTTCATTGTATATTTATGTGAAATGTAACACAAAAAGTAATAATCATGTAATTACATTAATTATAAAGTCGTCTGGAACAATTGTTATTTTACAGTATTTATTGATTTATTTTTTTACTACAGAGAACCGACCATCTGGAGATTTTTCAGACTATTTAGAAAGCAGTCTCCCAGATAAAGATTTCAGTGCCCCCAAAACTATCCCCAGGAACCGATATTTACTTCTCATCCAGGTTATGAGGCCTCTGCACCCAAGGTCATAACTAGCCAAGGGTCAAGGTCAACCACCCTATGTAGTATGGCACAGTCCAAAGCAAATATGGTATGTATAAGTAATCCTTGATGAATGACAGAAGCCCTTTAGATAAAATACTACTGTAACATAACATCCAAGAAAGGTTTATTTTTCTTAAATTTAATTTAAAGTTTTAAATCAAATGTAGCCACCATGTGTAATGCCTGTGTACATGAACATGTCTTTTGTCTTGCATATATCTGAAGAGTAAATGAGACAAAAAGATATTGAGAAATTTTATCATTGTGAAATACATGTACATGTATTGCCTTTTTTCTGTGGGTTGATGGTTTATGTGTAGGATGTCATAGATTTTTTTTTATTGAAAATGAATATTTAGTGTAGTCAGTGCATGTCATTTATGAAGTGGCTTATTTTTATTTCCTCTGTCAAGCAAGTAAAAACATGCATGGCAGGAAATCCCAGTCATTGTTTTTAATAATGATACAGTTGTACCTTTAAGATAGCAAAGATTTTATGATTTAAAGCTATGAATTGTACTTTAAATCTTATTTCCTTAGAGAATTTTTCATGTTATACAATATTCACAGGCAGCTACGAAGGCATCTGCTTCACAAAAAGGCAAAATGGTTTCAGCCAAAGTGACAAGTAAAATTGACAGTCATCGACAAAGTTCTGGATCAAAGGGTAAAGTTAAGACTCCACGTCCATCCTCATCTGGAGGGTCACGATCTGGTGACCTTGGGGTCAATGGTGTAGCTCCGCCTATGAGTTCTGTCATAGTGGAAAGACATCAACCTGTTACTAATGTAAGTGTACATGTACATTGAAACCTCAATATCTTGAATATGGTGGGAACCCCCAAAAAAATCTTCGAAATATCAAAGGATTCAAGATATTGAGGTTAAAATACATAAAGAAAAAGTGATTGGTACTACCAACTCACTTTGACATATATGTACTCGTAGTATTGGAGATATTGATGTTTAGTAAAGGGAAGTGACATTGTATATGTACAAGTAGGTATATAAAAGTTAATGATTTGCAACCTTGATGCACTTAAATTTAGAGTTAAAATTTAATAAATATTAAATTGATAGCATACAATTATTTTCTCAATAATTTAATTGATTCATTATATAATTAAACATTTGCATACAATTATCATATTCAGAAAAACGCATTGTAACAGTAAAAACTTTAAATGAATTTACACTTAGTGCTAACTGCTAAGCAATCTTTGTTCCCTGTATTTTTTAAAAACATGAACTTATCAGATGTTGTCTACTTGCGTAAGGATATTTTGAACACAGAAATTATATATATATATATATATATATATATATATATATATATATATATATATATATATATATATATATATATAACAGCTTAGTTTCCTCTAAAGTTGTTTTCGAAAATCCCCTGTTTTCAATTGCAGGAAACTATTGGAAAAGCTACTGCAGTGAAATATCCCTCCAAGAAAACGTCTACATTGGCTGATCATTCACAAGGGGGTGTGTCCCACAGAAAGATAGCAGGGCAGACTTCAACTGGCCCCGCCCACATACAGACTGTAAAAGTAGTGGACTGATAGTGATAAGTTAAATAGTGATATGTACTTATTTATTTGTGAGATAAAAGTGGAGTGAAATCCTTTAATGCATTTATATAGGTTTTAATTGTGAGATAAGAAACATAACGATACTTTGACTTTTTTCTTATCAAGTTATTTTTATGCCCCCGTATCGAAGATTCGGGGGTATATAGTTTTTGCCCTGTCCGTCTGTCTGTTTAGCTGTCTGTCTGTTTGTCCGCAAAAACTTTAACATTGCCCATAACTTTTGATTGGTCAGAGCTATGGCTTTCATATTTCACATGTGTATTCCTTGTGACAAGACCTTTTTTTAGGTACCACCATATTTGACCTTTTCACCTTGACCTTGGAGTTTGACCCAGTTTTGCAAAATTTTACCCAACTTTGACCTTGGCCATAAGTTTTGAACAATTAGTGCTAGGGTTTTAATACTTCACCTGTGTAATCCTAGTGACAAGCCCTTTCTTTGGATAGCAACAACTTTGACCTTTTGACCTTGACCTTGGAGTTTGACCTACTTTTGAAAAATTTTAACCTTGGCCATAAGTTTTGAACAGTTGGTGCTACGGCTTTCATTCTTCACATATGTAATCCTTGTGACAAGGCCTTCTTTTGGATACGAACACCTTTGACCCTTTGACCTTGACCTTGGAGTTTGACCTACTTTTGGAAACCTTTAACCTTGGCCATAAGTTTTGAACAGTTGGTGCTAGGGCTTTCATAATTCACATATGTAATCCTTGTGACAAGACCCTACTTTGGATACCAACAATTATAATCCATTGACCTTGAAGATTGACCTACTTGTTGAAAAACTTAAACCTAGGTCATAACTTTTGAACGATTGGTGCTTCAGCTTTCATATTTGACCAGTATATTTCTTGTGAGAAGGCCTTTCCTTAGGCACCATTAATTTTGACCATTTGACCTTGACTTTAACCTTTTCCATATCTATTCAATGGTTGCTGCTAGGGCTCTCATATTTCAAAAGTGTATTTCTCGAGAGAAGACCTTACTTTGGGTACCAACATATTTGGTTTGCATTAAGATGCCATACGGGGGCATCAGTGTTTCCCAAACACATCTTGTTTGAAATAAAAATTGTAAATGTACGTAAATTAGCACATTCTAAATTTAGTGCAATTCTTCTTTTTAACTGATTAGTGAAATTCTAAATTAGTGCAGCTCAGTCTAGAGAGTCACAAGTTGAAGTATTGTATTATAACGTAGATAAATTAACAAATATAAAGTGGTTATTAATAACAAGGTGCTAAAATATGATTACCACTGGTAAAGTACATTTACAATGATTTATTATTTATATTAGGCCATTCCTAGTTTTTTCTCTGTTTAGCGTCCACCCACCTTTCAACAACCTACCTACCTCTTCGCAAAAAACACACAAGCCAAAGAATAAAACACAGACTTTATAGTCTTTAATTAAAATGTCGTCATTCAAAGGGTTTGATTTCATTTATCTATTTTTCTCGTAGAAAGATCTATTCTCTAGTAAAATCAAGCATTAAATGCTTAAGATAATCTTTATATGACATATTGTAGACAAATACTTAGAAATAATCCGAGAGTTAAAAGATTTTGACCAGAATAACCAATTTCAAGACTTCTGATTTTCTTTGTTTTTCTAATACAGGGTGTCAAAAACCAAGGCGCACGCGGACTCTAAACATAGAAAGAACTTGGAATGGCCTAAGTCTCTAAGATTTCTATTTATGTGTTGTATCACTGATGTTGTAAACCGGGAGCATCTTACACAATATCAGATATATATGTCCTAGTAACTGTTCCTCATAAGAAACAAGATGTGTTTGTGAAACACTGATACACTTAACGGCAGTTTATGGCAAAGATTAAAGTTTCTCAAATGCAAGTCAAGCTCCAAGGTCAAGGTCATGAGATCAAAAAAATGTTGTAACCCAAAGAAATTACTTGGATATACCTGGTAAATATGAAAGCCCAAGCATCAACCATTCAAAAGTTGTAGTCAAGAATTACGTTTTCTTAAAGTGGGTTAAACTCCAAGGTCAAGGACAAAGGGTCAAAATTGATGATATGCAGGGGAAGACCTTGTCATAAGAAATACACATGCAAAACAAAAAAGCCCTAAGCTAGCACCAGCTGTTCAAAAATAATAACCAAGGCCATCATTAAAAATATCTTTGTTTCCCCTAACCCGGTCGGTAGGTAAATTATTTTTTTTTCTGACAGCAGGTTTGGGAATACATTCTGAAAAATTGAATAATATCTTTATAAATAAGAAAGAACAAAAGAAACCAATTTTAAACCTAATATCATACAAATGAAGCAACATGTATGGTAAATTAATTCACAAATATTATTAATTTGAACTTGTAAAATATCTCAGGCCAGCGTAAATTTATTGAAATTGAATATTTACAAAAACAGAAGACTTGCAAATACTGAACCATCGGACATTTGAGTACATTTTTCAAACCTACTATCATCTTTGAGTACTTACACAGACAAAATGTCAAGGGCCTCGCGTGGCACAGTGATTCTAGTGTTTCGTTTAGGAGTCACGACGTAATTCGGGAGCTAATTCAAAGTCACAGGTCCAGACGTGGGACTTGCAGACCGGTCAGTGGAAAAAGACCATAAAAAAACATAGGTCCAGTGTCGGAGTATGCATGTGGATGGCAGGTAACAGATCCCTTACTGATGCTTAATGATCAAAGGCCAGAAGTGCCGAGTAAAAGTCTAAATTAGGAGCCTTCCCCTGGCCCAACAAATTTTAAATTTTAAAGTAAAAAAACAACCTGTTTTCAAGGGCCTAACTAAAACAAAATAAACTGGCTGTCTCAGGAAGCCGTACCATAAACAAATTTTAAAGATTTCAACACTATTTGGAAATGTATAAACAATATATAATTCAACCAAACCACAATTATCTAAAATGATTAAAGTTTCATATATCTAATTTTATAGTCACGGAGTCAATACCCCATAAATAAAAGGAATAAAGAAACGACATCTGAATTATATTTATCAAATGAAATAATCATACAAAGACATATTTGCAACTCCTATGGTCCTATGTAGTAAAAATAGGATCTTACATGAACTGTTTATTAGATCGAAACAAATCAAATGCAGTGAAATCTATTGATATGTATTCACAACAAGCGCCCCTCATCTACTCATGAGGCAGGCTTTGCTATGCTTACTATGTATGTTAATTTTTTAAATACCATTTTAACACTCCTTAGTCATGGTACATTAATTCATGAGATGTCTCAAGAGTGTAGGATTCTAATAAGTTAAAGATTTAATAAGATTGATACGTCACCATTGTTTTATAACACGAACTAACCCTCTGTGGCCATATGTTGTCGGCACCAAATGAGAGTAAAACAAAAGCCGCCGTTCTGATAAAAAACGTTTTTTGATGAAATTGTATTTAATAAATTTGATAAACAATGAAAAAAATATATTTAAATAATCTTATCACAAAAACTTTTCAGTCGGCTCGATTTAAGTGGGTCGGTCGTGTTAGGGGAAACAAAGGTATTTTTTTTTTATTTTGGCCCAAGGTTAAAGTTTTTTAAAAGTGGGATAAACTCCCAAGGTCAAGGTCAAATTGTTGATATCCAAAGGAAGGACTTGTCACAAGGAATATACCCGTAAAATTGGAAAGCCTTAGTGCTACTCTTCTAAAGTTTTGGCCAATGATAAAGTTTTTTTTTTTAAATTGAGTCATATTCTAAGGTCAAGGTCAAAACTCAAAAATATTGACACCCATGGAAAGGTCTTGAAACTATGGATACACATGTGAAACATGAAAGCCATAGCACCAACTGTTCAAAAGTTATAGCCAAGGTTAAAATTGGGTAAAGTTTTTCAAAAGTGGGTCAAACTCCAAGATCAGAAGGTCAAATATTTTGGTACCAAAAAGGAATACACTTGTGAAACATGAAAGCCATAACTCCAGCCAAATTGAATCAAAAGTTATGGGAAAGGTTATAGTTTTATGCAGACACACAGCATAACAGACACGACAGCTAGACAGACGGACAGACAGGACAAACACTATAAAACCCTGAGTCTTCAGTTACGATGGCCTAAAAAAGGAAATGTATTTTGTTTTTAAAACTGTGATTTATTTATTTTTTTAAAAGCAAAATAAAATAACATATATTTTAACCTGTGTTTTTGCTACCTTTCTGAATCTGCAGAAACTGATCATTTCAATTTCTAGCCGTCAGGAGTAACAAATAATGAATTAAGACAATGTTCCATGTCTTGTTTACACTGCAGTAATCAAAACTGACCATTTATCTTAGCATAATGACACTGAAGCCAGCAAGCTTTATCCATGGCCGTAGGAACCGGGGGGGGGGGGGACGGGGGGCGTGCCCCCAATAATTTTGCCGATATATAGACTTTAGAAAACATAGTTACTATATGCTTGTGCCCCCCCCCCCCAATAATAACGTCTGATGACTTTTTTATTTTTACTTGTCAATGAATTTTGGTACTTGATAGTGCTCCCCCCCAACTGAAAATGTATAGTTGTGCCCCCTCAACTGAAGTGAAATTGCTTCCTACGGGGCTGTTATCAGTGTACCCTTGAAAAGACCTTGTTTGCTCATCATCCTTATTTAATTGGAATACCTTAAGTTTTCCTATGGCCATATTGTCTACAGTGTATAAACGCTTGTTTTTGCGAGAAGCGCTGACTTCTTCGCCGTATTACTTGAATTCTGTACAGAGGCACGTAATTAAGAATTATCATTAATTGTGTCATCCTGAAACATTTAAAAATAAGTGTCAGATCCAGCAAGAATTTCAAGAATTTTCAGTCGATTGATTGATTGATTGTATGTTGTTTTACGTCCCACTTGAGAATTTTTCACTCATATTTTTATCGACCTCGGTCAATCGCGACCTACGCTCGAATCCTCGACTTTCCAATCACGGAGGGGGCGTTCTATTGATTGAGCTACCGGGACAGTTTTTTTCAGTCAACCCCAATATATGAA